TCGGCAACAGGAAGATTTTGACCTACTCTCTTTCCAAACTGGCCCAGTTCACCCCTCCTGAGGACAACCTGGGTGGTCCCCTGCTCCCAGGAAGGTCCACCATATCGAGGGCCACAACAGTGCAGACACCTGGTTGACATAGGCCCAGCTATATCCTCAGAACTCCTGGCTCATCATTCCCTGCCTTGGCCCTCCCGAGTAGCTTGAGAGAACTACATGTGCGCACACAACCCGCACCCGAGAATGGTAAAATTAAGGTTTGCTAATTAGTTGGCTTTTTTTTTTTTTTGAAACGGAGTCTTGCCTCTGTCCACCCAGGCCTGGAGTGCAGTGTGCGCAATCTTGACTAACTGCAACCTTTGCCTTCATAGGTTCAAGCGATTTCCTGCCTCAGGCTTCCAAGTAGAGCTGTAAATTATAGGCCGCCCACCACCGATGCCCAGCTAATTTTGTATGATTAGTAGAGATGGGGTTTCACCATGTTGGCCAGGCTGGTCTTCAACACTCCCTGTGGAACCTCAAGTGATCTGCCCCTGCCTAAGCCTCCCAAAGTGGTTGGATTATGGGCCTGACCCACAGTGCCCGACCGCATATATTTTTTAATTTGTAGTACAGACGAGGTTTTATCATGTGGTAGGCCTGGTCCTCCGAACTCTTGGACCTCAAGCGTGATCTTCCCCAACCTCGCCTCCCAAGTGCTGAGAATTTACAGGCGTGAGCCAACCGGCGCCAGGCCAGCTGGCTTTAATAGAAGCAGATTAGCACCAGGCGCCGGTGACCTCACACCTGTAAAGATCCCAGCCACTTTGGGAGGCCAATCAGACAGGCGATCACCTGAGGTCGGAACTAATACAACCCTGGACCACATGGGAGAACCTTTCTAAATTACAAAATTAGGCCAGCCCAGGCAACAAAGTGCACCATGCCCTGTAATCTCAGCCACTTGGGAGGCTGAGCGGGACGAATTAGCTGAACCCAGAGAGGCGGAGGTTGTGGTGAGCTGCAGACTGGGCCATTGCCCACTCAAGTGGGACAAAGCGAAACTCCATCTCAAAAAAAAAAAAAACAAAAAAAAAAAGGGCGCGGGTGTTGCCTGTAATCCCAGCACTTTGGGAGGCTGAGGTGGGCCAGATCACAAGTTGGGTGCTTGGTAACATGTGAAATCTTTTTTTTTTTTCTTTTTTTTTTTTTTTTGAGACAGTCTCGCTTAGTCGCCCCCAGCTAGAAGTGCACGTGGCCGGATCTCCGGCATCACCTGCAAGCTCCCCGCTCCGGGTTCACGCATTCTCTGCTCAGCCCGCTCCCCGAGTACTGGGACTACAGGCGCCCCGCTCGGCCCGACTAAATTTTTGCATTTTTAGTAGAGACGGGGTTCACCCGTTGTTAGCCAGGATGGTCCCCTTCGATCTCCTGACCTCGTGATCCCGCCTCGGCGTCAACTCGGCCTCCCAAAGTGCTGGGATTACAGGCGTGAGCCACCGCGCCCGGCGAAACCTCATCTCTACTAAAAACACACAAAAAAATTACCCGGGTGTGGTGGCGGGCGCCTGTAGTCCCAGCTACTCGGGAGGCTGAGGCAGGAGAATGGCATGAACCCAGGAGGCGGAGCAAAACAAAACAAAAAAAATAGAAGCAGATTAGCCTGGTTTATCCAGATAGGCCCACTGTAATTGCAAGGGCTCTTAAGGGTGGGAGAGGGAGGTGAAGTCAGTGAGGGAATTGGGATGAAGACGGAAGTAGACCTGCAGTCCCGGAACTTTGAGAAGCTGAGGCGGGTGGATCCCCTGAGCTCAGGAGTTCAAGATTAGCCTGGCCAACATGGTGAAACCCTGTCTCTGCTAAAAATTCCAAAAATTTGGTTGGGCATGGTGGCTCATGCTTGTAATCCTAGCACTTTCAGAGGCTGAGGCAGGCTGATCACCTGACATCAAGAGTTCGAGACCAGCCTAGCCAATCTGGTGAAACCCCGTCGCTGCTAAAAATACAAAAATGGGTCAGACACATTGGCTCACACCTGTAATCCCAGCAGTCAGGGAGGCCGAGGTGGATGGATCACCCGAGGTCGGGAGTTCGAGACCGGCCTGATCAACGTGGAGAAACCCTGTACCAAAATGCAAAATTAGCCAGGTGTGGTAGTGCACGCCTGTAATCCCAGCTACTCCGGAGGTTGAGGCGGGAGAATCGCTTGAACCCAGGAGGCATAGGTTGCAGTGACCTGAGATTGTCCCACTGCACTTCAGCCTGGGTGACAGAGCAAGACTCTGTCTCAAAAACAAATAAAATAAAATAAAATACAAAAATTATCCGGGCATGGTGGCAGGCGCCCATAGTCCCAGCTACTCCGGAGGCTGGGGCAGGAGAACCGACCGGGCATGGTGGCAGGCACCCATAGTCCCAGCTACTCCGGAGGCTGGGGCAGGAGAACCGACCGGGCATGGTGGCAGGCGCCCATAGTCCCAGCTACTCCGGAGGCTGGGGCAGGAGAACCGACCGGGCATGGTGGCAGGCGCCCATAGTCCCAGCTACTCCGGAGGCTGAGGCAGGAGAATGGTGTGAACCCACGAGGTAGACCTTGCAGTGAGCCGAGATCACGCCACAGCACTCTAGCCTGGCGACAGAATGAGACACCGTCTCAAAAAAAAAAGAAAAAGAGAAAAAAAAGAAAATAATTATAATAATAATTAGGGCTGGGCCCGGTGGCTCATGCCTATAATC